CCTGAAGGACTGCCCAAAGAAAACTTATTACCCACCAAAGTTTTATATTATGACTATGAAGTGGAGGTTTTTGCTTGTCAGTGACTACCAGGCACAAAAATACTGTCTAGCTATTTATTTGTTTTTGCAGTCCCCACCTTAACACCCCATCCATTGTGGAACCTGTCTCACAGACAGGCCTCTGAAGATATAAAGAATTTCAGTAAGGTTCACTTTGAGATATAAGGATGTCTTCAGTGGAAACATCTGAAAGTCTCTTAGTTTGCCTTTCCTTTGTAAGTAATTGATAAAGTGCTACAAATCTGTCTCATGCCATGAAAGTATGTTCTTCCTATTAAATGGATACCACTACCTTCCAAGAAAAGAAATTCCATGATTTTGTCAACACAAAATATCAAATTAGAACATCCTGAAGGTAAGAGAAAGTACTTCTGTTTAGCTGACAGTTTTTCTGAGAGAGCAGGATCGCTAGGAAAATGTCTGCTAACAGTAAATGACTGATCAACCTGCTATGGTAGCTGTAGCCATTTGAAAAGAAGAGAAACAGATTGCACCATCACATCACTACAGTTTCAGAAGTTCTCAACAGCGGTGAGGAGGTATGGAGGTGTCTGAGATGCTTCATCCCCTCTCTCTAAACACATTTCAGATGGTGACAACCTGCTGATCAAAATAAGATACCCTTCAGACAACAAAGAGTAACAATGAAATGCACATACAAAGAAGTGGTAGAAACGGTAAGATGTGTTTTAAGAGCCTTTTTTTTTTTTTGGTGTGTGCATCTAAATACAATGTAGAGTCCTCATTTCCTTACTTATCAAGATAAATATACTAGTGACCAAAACCATATGCATGATAGCTGAATACTAGATGTCAGCACACTTTCATTTAAGTCCATCCATACTGGATGAATAGGCAGAGAAATTTACCTCTCTTTTTCTAGCTCTTCTAAGTAACCAGTGCTTTCTCTGCTTCCATTCATAAATCCTCTTCTTGGAAATGATCCCATTGGAACAGGACTGCACTCTCCTGAACGGCTTGACACGGACCCTTCCCGGCTCCCGTACGAACGAACGGACACCTTTGTCCTTAACTTCACCCCAGGGAAGTTGGTACTTTCCAAGTTCAGTTCTGGATAATAAAGAGTAAACATTTTCAATGCTGAAGTTCAGCAGCACAAATTTAAAAGATCATTTCTATCTTAATGTTTTACTGCCTGAACAAATCCATGATTTGTTGATAGAAACATTTTGCATGGAAATACACAGAAAAATGCAATGGGAACAAAACCAATCTGAACAGTACACCTGGGGAATCCTAGTCTGAGGACTAACTGCAACCCTGAAAATCAGAGCAGTAAACCCACATGAGCCTTCTGCTCTGTTTCACAGAGGACTTAAGAAATGGGCAGAGTGTTCCATGAATGTCACATGAATTGTTCTTGTGGCTCACTTCCCGATAAGTTTCTTTCCCACAGATCCTGTAGGTGCTTCACTGTCACAGAAATCATGACAACTCTGCTCACCACAGGGTCCCTAAATGTAGACCTCTCCAATGGTATTTCTGTTCCAGTGGTAGGGATAATGGATGTAGAGTCAGTGGTCTGGGCTTGCTTCGCACATCCCATATAATGGGATGGTGCACATTCCAGCACATGCTCTAGGGAAACAGGCATCAATTTGCAGCATGACAGATATAGTTCCTGTAATATGACATGGAGAGGGCAGGGCATGCAAACAAGTTCAGAAAATGGGTGAAAATAATCCACCACTAACTTAAACAAATGTATTTTTTTCTGAAGAACTGAATGAAATGCAAGTTGTATCAAAAGCAATTAATCTAAAGCCCCAAGGTACCAGCAGCAAAAGCATTAAAGGAGCATAGTAATTTTTTTTTTTTTTGAGAATGAGTCTTAAAATGCTTAGCAAACATAACAGGCACTGAGACTATGTATAACCATCAAAATCAGCACTGGAAATAAGATGTAGTCGAGTTAAAAAATTTTATCCCAAAGGAAAAACAACCGCGAAACAAATGGACCTACTTAAAACATAATTCTAGGTTTACCTTTAAGTCGCTCCAGTAAGTCAATTTGTCCAGAAGATGCCATTGCCTCATCTTCAATACTTCCTTGTAGCTGTTTCAGCACCTCCTGTAAGAAATTAAGCTTAATTAGGAAATACTTAAAATAATAAACCACAAGGTAATTATATCTTATCCTGCCCTCAAGTGCACATTCATCTAACAGTTACTGAGAAACTGATGTAAATTTTATTTTATGTGAGCAGTGACCAAGTGTCATAACTTTAATAGCCATCAAATATATTCTACAGTATTTCCTCAAGCACTGTCACAATGTAAAAGTATATCCTGAATGCCTCATCCTCACTGGGAGTCCAATCTATCAGCTTATTTAAAAGGTCTTCTCAAAGTGAGTACCGGTTATCTCAAATTTACAGACGGACAAATGGAGGCACAGAGAAATTAGTTACATTTCTCCATCTACCTAAAGCTGCTCTTGTAAAAATGAAGTCTGGATTCATGACTAGAAGTTACAGAAGTATCTTGAATACCACACTTTTTAAACCTCAAAGGTTTTATCTTCTGTGAAGCCTCAGCACCACTGTAAAGCAGCAATGAGAATCATGTTACTACTACTACTGCCACTACCACCAATGCTACCACCAGCACATCTATGAGGAAGGACTCAGGATTCCTTCATAGTATTTTATTATTTGGCTATTACCACTAGTACTACCAGTACTATTAGTACTAGTACTACCTAGATTTAGGTCTCCTTCATGCAGCTGAAGCTTCAAAGCCAAGAATATTGGTGTGTGCTATTGAAACTATGTATGATAAAATTATACAGCTGAAAATCGTGCTTCTAATGCACAAAAAGTTTCATAGCAAAAAGCAGCTACTAGACTAAAAAGGGCCTCTAAGCCCCCAGGCTCCTAGCGTTCAGTGGCCTAAATTCAGGGAGAAATTAAATGCAAGTTAGTGAATGCCTTTTCTATATCATAATGCTGGACACCTCAATAGCAAAAATAGATTGAAAAGACTGGCCACAAGGCAAAAAGCCCTTACTGTATTTTAAAATACTGTTTTTCATACTGTGGCACAGAAAATATTTTTAGAAAAAGCAGTAATCAGGAAATGAAAATAATTCTGAATAGTGAAATGCACTCCACATTTTTCATACATAGACTCTACATCCAGAATTTTACTTCTGTTCAAACCTAAAAACTAATGAATTTAACGTTACTTAGAAGATCTCACATCACTGTTTTGCTCTTTTAAGAGCCTAACATACCTTACTGTCAACACTAGTGGTTCTCACAACTGGTACAGAAGGTACTTTTTAAATGCATTTAGCTCTTCTTGAAGGAAACAAAACAGCATCTACAAGGAGGTGTTATTTAAATAGACACACTACTGAGCTTTTCTATATCCAAAATGTTGTTCCTTGTACCAATTAAAAAAAAAAAAAAAGATTTTGAAAAAAGAACTGCTTGACTCAGAGTAAATGGTAGCAGCACTGTCATTGCAGCCACCCACCATGTAATTAGATGCTGATACTGCAGTAAGAGGAATTCTGCAGTACAGACACACTAATTAATGGGTTCAATATTGGTTTTGTATATCTTTGTATATAGTCCATATTATTAGTACTATTTTCATTAAAGCTGTTTTAGCTTTCTTTTCTAATCCGTAAGTCTCTGTCCCTTCCTCCTTTTCTCTTCCCCTTGGGGAAGGAAGGGGTTTAACAGAGAGCATCTATTATAGGTATGACCCTAGACCTTGACACCAAAGCCAAAACCCCCTGAAACATGTATCGTATGCATGCTGGGTCCTCAGCTTAATTAATCTACAGATCTGCTCTTACTGCACTACCTGTTAATGCTGCCATTGCCTTCAGGATCAAGTATGGTGTGACAAAATCACCACTGTTGGGAAGACATCTTCACTGTACTAGTGTTCTTAAGTACATTCAAGGGCATCCTCATTAGTCATACTGCCCAGACGTCTTTATACATAACATCTATCTTCTCAGTAAAGTCAGACAAACAATCTCGTGTTTTTCAAAGGACTCCTACATTATCTGATGTAAGGGCAGATAACGTTTGCAGACACAAGTCTTAGCTTAAAAGCCTAAAAGGGCAAATATAGATATGTGAAGTGGCTTTGCAGGCTTCTGAAAGACCTGTCAACTCAGATATATTTAGAAATAATTAATGAATCCCTTTCCTCTGAGCACAGCACCTTGGCACAGAGAAAAAACCCAGCCCAAACGTCTATCCCCTCCTCCCGTTCCCTTCTTAGAAGTCTCTTTCACATGCGTCTGTGTGGCAGCTCTGCTATTTTAGAAATCCTACGTTCAGGACACTTTCCTACATAATGAGTCCTCCTGTATCATCATTTCCTGTGCCATAAAATTCAATTATATGACTGAGGTGTCCCAGCAGATAGGGAATGCTCTTTCTGAATACTGGTTAACAGTTAAAGATTAGCAACTGGATCACCTCCATTTTCTCCACCACAACTCATTAACTCAGGTTGTAACTTCTTGTTTTTAAAATTATTCCCCCCCTTTTTCTTTTCAACAACACATACATTGTTTTTTTTTCCAGTTAATAAGTAAAGTGTTCTTTTCTATGTGTTTTTTCTACATTTCTTTCCTACAGCACCATTGTTAAGGTAACAATGCTATTACAAGGCTACGACATCAATTTTAAACTCCATCACAGCACACTTTGAAATCTAAGCTGATGAAGCAGACAAAGGTTAGAGAGGGAGATGCAGTTCCTGGGCCACATACTGGTGGAAAATAAGACTGTGCTAAAATGACAAATCGGGCAATTTACAACTTCACTTGCACAAAGGAACAGAAAAGTTTTGTGCAACAACCTATATGGAGGAAACAAGGCAAGTTATCTACAATGCAAGTTACAATGCAAATATTTACTTATTCACTTATTATAATCCCAGGACTCAACACTAATGCTGTTAATGTGCAGCTTTCCCATTTTCCCAAGATTCATACCATGCTTTGAAATAGTACTTTTCCACAATAATTTTATATTTCATTTGATATCCTATCTGCTAAGTAGTGTGAAATCTTCTCCACAAATAAACCTGAATCAATTTAGCTAACGTTAAATTAATGCTCTGTTCAGTTATGCAAGTTTGAATAAATATATTAGTAGTGGCTTATAGCACTGTTCTAACTCAATTCTTTACTGTCTTAGTAGTGAATACGTGTACCTAGAAGGAAGGCTCCAAAAGGGTTTTTTTAAACATTTTTTTTTGTTGTTCTTTTAAAGAATCTAAGCCAAATCATTTTAGTGGTTTCTTAAATGTAACCTAGCTTATCTTGTCCTACTCCAAGAAAATGCCTTTGGAAACAGAGATGGCCCCATGACTCATCATCATCTAAAACTGTTTCTTTGCAATCTCTGAACTGTGAAGCAGAGAAACAATGTAATTTTTTGTTGTTTTTGTTTTGACTCTGTGAACAGTCCTCACCTTACAACTACTTTACAGATAAATAAATAAATAAATAAAATCAGACTCATCAGCAAGTAGCTGGTAAAATACTCAGAAGAAAAGCACCTTAACTAATAGGACATGCACACAAAGTGGTAAGGTTTGTAAATAAAACTGCTTAAAGTTTGTGAATTTACTCAAGCTGCTAATAAATAAAGGAATCACAGAGGAACAACTCTAATGATGCCAGATTTCAAATTCTAATCAGTTAGGATTTGAAATTCTAAGCATAAATATTAACATTCATATTTAGAAATATTTCAGAAGATGGCATCTGTAAAAAAACCATTCTGGTTTAGACATATATTTCTGCTTTGGCAGGGAAAGGAGCACTGACAATAATTCAGACAAATCAGATGTGTTTGGTCTTCTGTGAACACTACTTGCTTCCACCCCTTGCCTTTTACATAAAGGAAGCTTTATTAACTTGTATTCACTCTTCTAGTTTTGTACACTCAGTAAATGCCAAATTTATGAAAACCATCATGACAAATAAAAATATGAAAACGTTGGTAGCAGTATGGCAGGCACACTCATAGGACAGTAGGGGCTGTAAGCCTACAAGATGTTCTGAAATTTACTCTATCTTTTAAACAAAACCATGAGTCTACATGTAAAAAGATCTCCAGCAAAACTCCCCCTCCTCTGTATCCTCCATCACCAGGGCAGCCACCTCATATAGCAGGGGGCCCACATTTTCCCTAGTCTTCCTTCTGTTACTGACATACTTGAAGAAGCTCTTGTTGTCCTTGACATTCCTTCCCAGACTCCATTCCAATAGGGCCTGAGCCTTCCTCACTGCAGCCCTGCATACTCTGACAACATCCACACATTCCACCCAAGTGGCCAGTAACTTTTTCCACATTCTGTAAGTTTCCTTCTTCCACTTGAGTTTTTCTGGAAGCTCTTTGGCTCATCCACACAGGTCTCCTGCCTCCTTTGCTTGATTTCTTCTTACTCACAGGGATGCACCACTGATCTTGATCTAGGAGGAAGTGGTGCTTGAGTATTAACCAGCTCTCTTGGGCCTCCCTGCCTTCTAGACTCCTAACCCATGGGATGTGCAAATAACGGATACTGGGTAAACCCACCTTAGGTTTATGTTATGTTTACCTTGACTACCGCTATACTGATAACATCTGAGTATAAAGTCAGGCTTAACTGCACAAGTACAGAAAGTCTTTACAACTTCAGAGAGTAACTGCACATCTAGCTTAGCACCATACAGGATAGGAACATACACACTACCTGAGAGACAACTATTGTTTTTAAATTAGTGATATTTTAAAATGAGAATATTTCTGAGAGCATTTATACGCATGTTCTTAACCTGATATGGTGAAAACTTAACATATAATTGCACCCTGACCTGAAAGCGATTTTTAATTTCAACCCTGTGTCGCGTATTGTTTCATTTATTGGCACAGACACCAGAATACTATTTTCTATGCATTTATAGATAGGGTAAACTTAAGTTCAAGATCTTTTATGACCCTTCGTAACTATATGAACTTGACAATGCTTTAATACCATCATGTGTTACAACACTCGCAGGGGCCACGTGAGTGCTGTGGAAGAGGCCTCTTACTCCTATACGTTTTG